TCAAGGTCACAGGGGCCTTGACTTGAAAAATTTTGTGCGCCCAATAACTGAAGATTCCTTTGACCAACAGTCTTCATATTTGATTTTTAGATTGGTCATGAATAGTAGATGATCCCTATTGATTTTGAGGTCACTAGGTCAAAGGTCAAGGTCGCAGGGGCCTTGACTTAAAGAAGCTTGTCCGCCCAATAACTTAAGATTCCTTTGACCCACAGTCTTCATATTTGGTATTTAGATTGGTCATGAATAGTAGATGATCCCTATTTATTTTGAGGTCACTGGGTCAAAGTCACAGGGGCCTTGACTTCAAAAAGCTTGTCCGCCCAATAACTTAAGATTCCTTTGACCTACAGTCTTCATATTTGGTATTCAGATTGGTCATGAATAGTAGATGATCCCTATTGATTTTGAGGTCACTAGGTCAAAGGTTACAGGGGCCTTGACTTAAAAAAGCTTGTCCGCCCAATAACTTAAGATTCCTTTGACCCACAGTCTTCATATTTGGTATTTAGATTGGTCATGAATAGTTGATGATCCCTATTGATTTTAAGGTCACTGGGTCAAAGGTCAAGGTCACAGGGGCCTTGACTTGAAAAAGTTTGTCTGCCCAATAACTTAAGACACTTTTGACTCACTGTCTTCATATTTGGCATGGAGGTTGATCATGACCATTAGGGTACCCCTATTGATTTTGAAGTCTCTAGGTCAAAGGTCAAGGTCACAGGAGCCTTGACTAAATAAAGCTTGTCCTCTCAATTGCTTAAGAATGCTTTAGTCAACAGTCTTCATATTTAGTATTGAGGTTATTTATGACTAGTAGATGACCCCTTTTGATTTTAAGGTGACTATGTCAAAAGTCAAGGTCACAGGGATTTTACTATAATAAGCTTGTCTGCTCAATTGCTTAAGAATGCCTGTCCGCAGTGTGTTGATTTTCACATTTGAAGCACATTCAAGAAGTTTCTTTATCATGATATTGTCAGATTTTTTTATTTTTAATGGATATTAAAACAGAAAGCGAGTCAGAAAATATCACAAATTTACCCATGATAAATTTGTGATATTTTCTGACTCGCTTTCTGTTTTAATATCCATTAAAAATAAAAAAAATCTGACAATCTCATGATAAAGAAACTTCTTTTACGATTTCATGATATACTTAAAATAAAATCTGTTAAATTATATTGGATTCCAAGTCATGTGGGTATACGAGGAAATGAAAAAGTAGATGCTTTAGCTAAACAAGCATTAAATTTTCAAAAAACTGATTTATTGTTACCTGCTTGTGATTTTAGAACGGCTATAAATAAACTCGTTTCATCTGAATGGAAAGCAAATTGGGACAATGCCGTCTTTAATAAACTTCATGATATAAACCCATCTCTTGATGTGTCACCATCTCTGTCTTTGTCAAACCGCCATGATCAAACAGTTCTTCTTCGATGCCGAATTGGACACACTAAAGTTATCCATTCTTATCTCCTTACGAATGACAATGCCCCTTTCTGTGTAGGTTGTAATGAAAATTTTACTGTCAAGCATTTTCTTCTGGAATGTCATGATTTTTCACAGACCCGTAACAGATTTTATAATGTAAACTCACTCAAAGAACTCTTTAATACAATTCCATCAAAAAAAATCATCGATTATTTGAAAGAGATAAACTTGTATTAAAGGATCTGATTGGCTCTTTTTTAGTATCATTTACAAAGTTTTACATAATATTTTAAGCCTATTATAGCATTCGGCACGCTATGGCCATTTATGTGTTGACGTGCCGTAAAATCCAAACAAACAAACGCCATGACAGTGGCAGTTCTAGTTCTCGTAGTTTATAGGAAATAACAGACTTGGTATTTCATCAAGGTCAGTTTGCATACAAATAAAACGATTGTTTTGCTGCTGATTGGTTGTTGATCTGCAAAGTACAGATGAACAATATTCTATATGTGTTTCGATGAGCTTGTGTCTTCGTCAAAGTACAAAAACTTATTTAAAGATTGTAAAATTTTGATTTATTATTTTAGCTCCAAAATCGCGTCAAAAGTAAGCAGTGCTTTTTCGAGACCTACTATTTCCAATATGTATAAAAAGCGCATGAAAACTCTTGTATACGTTATTCTTTTAATTCTATTCTGCCGGACCATGATTCCAATGTAAGTTCCAATGTTAGTAAAGGCTTGTCGTGCAGACACTAAATAGGGTTGCACTAGCTCTTCAGTGTCTTTGTTTATTTCACGATAACTGGAAGTCAGTTTGTGTTATTGACGTCAAATATTGGAGCGATATTCTACACATGTATATGTACGTGACATTCCCGGGCCATGATGCTTGTGGTGGATTATCGAATTAAAATGATTAAAGCAAAACTCAAATGCATTTAAAATGGATGATTATATAATCTATGCTTTTAAGGCAGTCAGATAAGACGTCAATAAAATAGAAAAATATAGTAGTAGTACAAGAAGTAGAATTAGAAATGAACATTAATGTTTTTGGAGAACAAATACGGAATTTTGAGCTCATTTTAATTTACGTCGACTTTAAAGTAAGAAGTATTACATATGTGATTGTTCATTTAAGAAATAAGCGTTAGTACTGCAAAGTTCATTTGGTAGAGAAAAGTCAATCGCTAGTGATAAATTTGATATAAATATGAGTGGGATGCTAAAATTGCTATTCTCTGTTGTCGTAAAGTAAGTCTAGGTTAAACGACGCCTTTTAATCGAAAATTACTGAATTCCCTAATTGGGCTATTTGACCCAGCTACAAGAACCAGCGGCAAGCAGCCCAGGAGGACCCCAAACAAAAACAGGACAAGGCACAAGGCAGAGCACGGACAGGCTAATCTCTAAAATAATACGTAAGAAGAAATAATTTGTAACTGATCAGGAATTCAAAGAAAACATAAATGATTGAATAATATATTTCTGTCCTTACGGAAATGAATAAAGGTTTTTTTTGTCATTTAAGATATGAAAATCACCTGTGATAATTAAAAGTATGGAAATAATTTGAATGGTAAAATTTGGAACCACTGCAATATGTAGTAGATAGAAAATTTGGATGGTAAAAGAAATATGTAATAAGATGGAATGTTAGACTAATCTTCTTAATCGGAAACAGTTGTATTATAATTAAATACAACATGTTTTACAGGTGCTTTATACTTATAACAAATAAAAGGAATTTCAGAGTTTTTGAAGTTTTTACGAACTAAGTCAATGACACGCTTATAACAAAGAAATACTAGAAAGATCTATGAAAAGTGTACCTTTAATTTTAATATTATATTTATTTCATAAAGTTCAAAGATATACAACTATGTACAACAGCATTACATAACACAGGATTGAAAAGAAAGACTTATGTAAACTTCTTTTCTTTTAATGGCAAAAATAGAGCATAATGTGTACAGTAACAACGCATATTAATGTACTTGTTACATGAAATAATTACACTTGTAAAGAGTGAAATGAGTTATAAAAGGACAACAAACGAAAACGGTGGTGGATACAACAACTAAAGTGCAGTCATATTGAATTATTTATAAGTTGGAGTAGGTAAGATTTTAAACTTAAATATTTTATACTAATTGATGTTTAATTTCATAACTGCGCATGGAAGTAATAAAAGGACAATAATTAAGATAATATGATAGTTATAGTTATAGAGATAGAAGTCAGAGAGCGACTTGCGGCCATTGTCGTTGAAAGGAATGATTGGTCAGATAAGCAGAGCAGTGTGTCTGTAATAGTTTTATATAAAAAAAAGAATCATTTACTGGTGTTTCAAATATGTTATTTTGTGTGGTTGTCAGGATTATATGATTTTTATTATGGTTACATTAAAGGCAAAGTATAATTCATAATGAAAGAGAAAAAAACCCATAAAAATACTAAATTATAATAGCATATGATAAGCGTACGTAAGCGATAATGATTTTGGATACTTATTATGATATTGTATAGCAAGCACATAAAGAGTTAGGCAAGACAACAACCGCTTTGTGCTAGAGATTTAAGTACACCTTTACTTAATGATTAATTTTAAAGTGGCATTATGCTTTTTTATTCGTTGTCGGGTTGAGCTGAATTGGCTACATATTTAAAAATAGTGACTTTTATAATAGTCATTGACCAATAATTGATAATTAAAAATGTTTAGGATAAAACATAACAGCATCACATAGCAGCAAAATGAACTATTATCGCATGTTGCAACTTGTCTTTAATAAGTTTGCAGTACTCCTTAAAACAGAATTTTACAAGTCTTACTTGATAACTTATTTTTAGATGTTCTAACGTGTTTACTAGATAGTGATCACTAACATGTCTTTTTAAAAAGATCTGGTTGAATCTGGTATTAAAATGAACTATGCTCATCCTTTAGTAAAATATTTTAATGTAAATTTATTGAAATCTATGAAATTCTTACTGAATTTGTCTAGTTTGAATAAAAGAATAAATAACTAGGGTATTGGAAGCTGTTTTCCTTATTACAACTCAAGTATGGTTAGTCTTTTCTTAAAATAACTGCCACTTTTTTTTAATGACACTATATATTCATATTGTGATCACATATAGTGTATAGAATTTTAAACGTAACATATCTTCTTTAATTTAAGACAAAACATGTTTATATAATATTATATTTACAAAAAGACTATGTAGCAATTATCAATATTTTCTTATATCAAATTTGAGCATAGTACACTTGAATTGAAATAAATCTTAATATTATTAGCAAGTATTCAAATGAGAACATAGCTATAAGAGTAAAAGTAAAATAATTAAAAGAACAATTACCTACATAAAACATAGAAATATGATACATCTGATTAAGATATGTCGTGAATAAGAAAAAAAAACATTATATATCAGACACAACTTATTACAATGGACTCGGTAAAAGTCGCAGCTACACACATTTTCAGCGTTACATTTCAGCTTCATTTGTGGTGCCAGATCGGCTTATACAAAACAAGTCGACACATTGCAAATGGTATCTTCATGATATTATTTTCTGTACAAAAGTTTTTATTGCTCATTACAGAGACAGCTTCAAAATCGATTCATCAATATATGGAAAATGCTGGAGAAGAATATCAAGATTATTGTCACAGTCCCAAATCCTGTAACGACAGCGCTGCCGCTTGTCTGAAAACAAAATAAATGTATTCATATTCTATCTTATAATTTGTATAATAATATAAAGGAACTTTCTGAAACGTATTCATGTGCAAGTTAAAAAATAATCTAAAGGAATATCGTGTGCATATCAGAAGACACCAAATATAAAAAAACGAACTTTTCAGGTAAACTCAGTAGATAATGTTAAGTAATTCGTGGTATATCATTATTATGATTATTGATGTGTTTAACTAATAAGGATTTCAAAATGATATATATTTGCATATTAATAACGCATATATAAATGGACACGAAAGTGTAAGATACACTTAGGAAAACACGACAGTTCCATAAAGAAACAGTTTTCTTGATCTTAAAATTAAATGCTATTGCAAAGCTCCTAAATTACCTGTGCAAGTAAAAGCAGTTTAACATCGGCCGAGTGACTTTTAAAAAAATACTTCTAGTTTTAGTTTTGCTGATTGTTTTTCCATTTAGGGACACGCATTTTTAATGACTGACCACACGAATTACACTAGTTAACGTGCCGCACTAAAAATTTCATGACATCTGCCGTATGTACTCATGAAAGTTCGTATTTGAGAAATATTTTAGTCCTTAAAATAGAGATGGAAGTGATTTCGACAAAGCGCTAATGAATCAATTCCCCTACAAAAAAGTCAGAGGGTTGGTATACAATCAACAGTTATATACTTACATACATGTAATAAAACTAAATACATTTGACAGAAATATTAAACTACGTCAATTAGTAAAGTTACATTTACATGTAGTATAAAAGAAATTATTTCATTTGTATGGTAAAAACATTCAATTGAAATCAAACTTTAGATAAAATTACCGTGGTTTCAGGTGTGTTTGTAGATCCAGATGATTCAACACTCGCTGTTCCTATCGTTGATACTGAGGCTTCGGATGCAGAATCTGTTGATTCACCTAGCGTTGTTGTTGTTGTTGATTGTTGTGGTAATTGTGTAGTTGCTGCAAGTTCAGTTGTAGTCGTTGTTGGTTGCCCCGCCGTTGTTATTGTTGATGACGATGCATCAGTTACTAGCAGAAAGAGAGACACTTTGATAATTTGTATGAGAAAGTATTAAGACACCAGATAATGAAGTCTATATTAAACTCCTCAAGTTTACTTTGTTTTGTCCCTCTTAAAAATGGAGTTAGTTTTAATTTGACACTCGCGCTTATGCATTACATACCACATTACAATAAAATTATTGAATTAATTAGAAAATCATCAGCAATATAATACATTTACCTGTGTGCAAACATACGAGCAAAAATATGAATAAAATTCTCATCTTTGAATCTGCTTGCCTCTGTCTTCAACGGTAAATCCTTTCAAAATTAGTGAAAAAATATACCAAGATTGATTTATATACACACAAACAATCTGAGGACCCGACAGAGGTAATAATTATTTAGTCTGTAAACTATTACAGTGAACTGCGTAAACTTTTTTCATTGTACAGAATTTGAATAAAGGTCATTTTTAATTTTGGCTATTTAAACAAGTCTGTAATGTAATAACTGTATTTTTGTTTATTTTATTGCATACTCAAGCATACAAACTTCTCATTTATCGTTATTCATTCTCATTGTTTTCAATAATATTTTCTTATTTTTCTGGACTTATAGCTATATCCCAATTAGTACAAAACCAGTTATCATTTTTACAGTACAAAACCAGTTATCATTTTTACAGTAAATAGCGAAAAAGTTGTAGATCGTGATCAGACGGCTTATTTGGTATGGGTAATTTTTATTTCCTGTCATTTTTTAAAAAAGAAATGAAAAATTTCTAAATACAGATTTTCAAAGTAATAAAACAGTATATAAAGCTTGAAGCCTCCTACCACAATATTTTAGGAAAACCTTGAGTAAAGTTTGTGCTATTTGCGCCAAAAAATCACCCTTGCGTTATTTAGTCATACCGGTTCAAATGTTTAAGGAGCAGCACAATTTCGGTACACGGTTCGCTCGGTCATATAATAGTGCATGGTGATATTGTACCTGTAATGTTCACTGTAACTATTTATCGGAACATGAAATAGTAAAACGCTATTCAGAAAACAATATGGTAATCGATTTATACAATATAAAAGATTCAAACGGAATGAAACATCCACATAGCGCTAAGTAGCGTAAATGATATTTTTCCGATTTTTCTATGTACCGATTTGTTCACTTCGATGTTAATTTTTCGTTTAAGTTAAGTCGTATTTTGAAACGGAGCATGCGCAAAACAATTTTTGTAGACTGCCCCTAATGATTTTACGCTTTAAATGACATTCGTTCACTACAATCAGATACGCAAAAATGGATGCCGCCAGCAACCAGGCTGAACACTGTGGAGAGGTCTGATGACCTCTCCAATAATTGATGTATTTTTGTAAACAATGAACGAAAATTTAGTTCATATTCTAGAGATCAAAAGAATTCAGGAACTCTGGTCAACACTTACCAAGTAAAGATAATTTCAAATCTCAATCTTCGAATTATTTAACTGTATCATAATCCTAAAAGTAAAAGAAGATACCAAATCTTTTTATTTTGTATAGCAAATTATAATCATGGTTATAAATTTACAGAGATTTATTTTAAACCAACGGATGATATTTTAACAGCTTAATGAAATGGCGGGGATTAAAAATGCAAAAAAAAACTTGATAAATTATAGGAAAAAAACTCTAAAATAAAATTAAGATATTTGTTCGAAAATGACATCATATGTGAATTTGTTAAAGGGAAAGGAAAATGTTTTTGATATGCAAGCCCTTATTTGCTCCTTGCAGTAAAAGATGTGAACAACATACAAATGTTAGTGTGGTATTTACAACAATGAAAACAATATTTTAGATGTCAATATTTTGACAGAGCCTCTATTTTGACTCCCGCTGAGAGATATAATATTTCATCTAATTTCTTAGGCCGTCAAAAATATAAACTCAGATCAAGTAGGTCCAAGCTTCAGGGGAAAGTGAAATCGCGTAATTTTGTCATAGACCAGCATGATTTTTTTGTTATATATTTTCAAATTCTGTGAGTATTAAAAAAGTGGTTTTATTGATTTTAATTAATTATTAATTATTAACATTATTTCAAACAGTAGGTCCTATCAGCATTAGTATCATGGAGAAAAATTGAAGAAGGGTAGGTGCAGGGATTTTATAACTCTGGCATATTTGATTACTATGTCATTATGGTACTACATAAAGTCAAGATGCTAAATTAGTTTACACATAGTAAATAAAATTTTAAAGACGTTTTTTATTAAACATTTTATATGTAAGATGCTTGTTCAAGAGTACTTATTGATGTCAGTATTTAGAAGCACACACTTAATGCTTTCCAAAATCTCTGCAGTCCAGGGATTACTGAATACAATTCATATAGAAATTTTAATATAAAAGTTAGGCTATAAATAAACATGCCCCACAAATTCTTTTGCATACGATGCAATTTTCTTACGAAATGTTTGAAATATTGCTTTATAGTGGACAATAATGTTTTGTTTGAGAAAAGGTATGAGCTTTAAAGTTTAAAAAATGTGCGGAATTAGTTTTAAGAGTCAATAAATTACTCACTTTTAAAGGTGTTCGGTGAAAACGGGACATAAGCGGAGAAAATTACTGTCAGATTATTTATCAATTTGTGTGGCCAAAAATAAAATTGTGTTGGTCTTTTCTAATTGTTCATAATTTAGAGAAAATTAGAATTTTTTACTCTGCTATTCAGAGCGGGGCCAGCGAAAACATTTTATTATACAGATGTAAGAGTCGTAAATCTCATCACCATGGTACTTCGACAAATTATCGTTTTTTATTCATCCTGACACGGCTTTTTTCAAGGCAGACTATAATTGCTTTGCATTTTTATGCTTGAGATAAATAAACAAGGTTATTTAAGAATGTTCGATTGTAATAAGTTATTTCAATAAAGTAGCCAGAAGAACAGTAACATGCTACGCCCTTCATTTCCACCACCGTTATCACTACAACCATTATTTATGATCACCACCGTCATCACCATTACCACCACCATTATTAAAAATCATCATTATTATCATCACCATAGCTGCCATCATCAGCAGCATGATAATTTTTATTTATTCTTTTGTTTTTGTTTATTATAACATTTTAATTAAGCGTTTAAATTATATACATTACCATTGACATGTTGTGCTAGCATTCATTTTGAATGTTTGTTTCAAAAGATTAAAGTTCATAACGACAAACAATAGTCAACCAATAATTATTTTTAAGTGTTTTAAATGTAATTTTTAGAAGAAAACAAATGAATATAAAAAACTAAAACAAACGATGTATTTTTATTTCAATACAGTTAGACGTTACCATTGTCTACACGATCAGTAACAAATTTCTTTAACATTTTGTGTCATTCTTTTGTATGTTCTTGATTTTCATATCTCATGAAGACATATTAAGTTTGAAACTAGTAGAATATTTTCCTTATTACCGTTTGAAGTATGTGATTCACTGCTGTTCTATTTCCCTAAATCGTATGTCACTTTCTACATAAAATCATAGAGGTAAATTCTTTTAAATGAAATCGGACCAAAAATAAAACGAAATGCAGATTCTAAAAAGAATGAGTGTCGAAATTTTTACTTGACGTATAATATTGAGTTTTATAAACCCGTAAATCTGTTAATTTGCGTAGTTACTTATTGCGACTTGTTGTAAAGGCATACTTTTATATTTTAGCGTTCGCGTAGCCGTTGAACGTCTGTCGTCATCTTCTTTACGCCTTTTTCTTACAAAACAGGCGAAAATAGCTTTTATTTTACTTAATAGGGAAAAAATGTGTTTCTTTTTCATTATATTCCCACTCAGCTGTATGAGAACAACGGAGGCTTAAATTGAAGTTTCAGATATATATATATATATATATATATATCAAAGCATCATGTATTTTGCACTGTGATTATGATACTTTCACTCTTATAACTACTACTTTGCTGGATTTCATGAGATTTTGACATTCAGTTTTAATTATTGGTGCAAAGTACTTAAGATTCAATGGCTGTGCCATTTTGGTAAATTTTTGTTCAGAAAAAACGACTGTCCCTCTAGCATCCATGTTACTCAGTACACCCTCCATCAACTAGGTTTTCACATAAATTTACTAGATTGTTTAATCTCAACTTTTGTTGGAAGCATCTCATTAATGTCGCATTTACAATAAGGTAACTTAGGTAAAATTCTTTGTGTATTCCATCCAGTCTCTCAAATGATAAACCTCAAATACCTGTAATCAGAAACAGTCTTTATTACACTTTTATAGGTGCATTTGCATTCGGGGTACGGTATTTAGATTTATAATATAATTTTTTTCAAATAAAAAAAAACATGTTAGCATTTCAATTTTATTTATTTAACATCTTGTTTGGAAATTTAACGTCTACACAGAAATCTACACACAGAAACAAATGTACTCCAACAATTATAACGTTGACCATCTAATTTATCTTTTAAAACAAACAGAGAGTATGCCTAATCATTCCACTGGTCAGCAGTTAAAGATTAAATTAGAGTTGGTATTGAGAGGAACAACAAAATCATTTACAGGTTTCTGTATTTCCTAAAACCGATCTTAAAGTATGTTTAGCTGTGCCAAGTAACAAATTATGTATTCCACAGAGTTAAAATAGTCTAGCTGATTAAGTACTGAATGTATTACTGTTAAAAGTCCATGTTTTTAATCTGTCTGATAGTGACATCAGATCTTCGTTTATGAATTTATACAGTATATAGTTGATTCATATCCAAAATAACCAATCTTTTTTCAAAGCCTCCACACTTTGTTACTTTGGAACACCCCAGTTTTGCAGGAAATGAGAGGAATCCACGTCTTCATAATAGCGGGTACGTCTGCAGCAACACATAACACAACTGTTTCACACAAATTTCCACATATTGTAACTCCTTTCTCAGAATCTCTAGAATGTGCAGTGATCAACCAGTATGTGTAAGGAGTTAATATTGCCTGTTGGTTTCGCACACATCCTATTCTCCTCTTTAAATATGTCTTTCGTGGGCAAATCTATAAAAGATAAATACATTACACCAAATGAATGCCCTACACGTTTATATGGTTGAAACCAATCAACATTTAATATTAAACTGGATGTTCTTACATCTTTTCTGAAATTCAGGTACTCCTTATTCAATGTTGATTTGATCCTTTTAATTTACTCCCAAAAACTGAACGTTTTGTTCTGTGTTTACATCAGATATTCTTACCTTGTATTGAGACTTTAACACCAGATGCTGTTCGTTTCACTGCTTGTTTTTTCAGCGTACAATGTGTTACATAAGGGACAAACCACAACATTTTTTATTCATCTTTAATTATTC